TTTTCCTACCATTTCCCCCTTTCATACTTTGTCCTCATGCATTCCAACCTTAATGTATGCACACCATATACAAATTACAATTTTGTACCTAACAACTTAAGTAATCTGAAGTCAGTTGAATTTTTTTAATCTTAAATGAAATGAAATGAGAATTTTATATTAAACACATGGCAAAATATGTTATAATGAAACAAATTAATTTAAGAAAAGGGTTTAAGTAGAGTGCAATCAATAGATTCACACTTAAAACATGAGTACAAACATTTTACATCCACTATATACACTAAATAATGTACAATCAATAGAATCACACTTAAAACAAGAATACAGAGATTTTACATCCACCTGATACAATAAGTTAATTAATTACAAGTATTTTTATTAAGCCACCTCCATTTTTATTTAGTATGACAGCTTAACTACTCAGAATCAGCTCAAAAGAAGTACAAATATTGAATGGAGTCCATTGTGTCTTTTCATAATTCCTTACATTTTAAAATAAACTAACATAAAGGTTACTAATGTTTCCTGATTTTGATATAGATTTAAAAGTAGTACTACATTATATGATAAACTGTGTTGCATTAAAACAAACTAATTTAAGAAAAAGGTTGAAATAATATACATCAGTTGATTCACACTTAAAACAAGAATACAGAGATTTTACATCCACCTGATATACTAAACTAATTAATTACAGGTATTTTTAATAAACTACCTTTATATTTAGAGTAGTAGGGTCAGGGGTATTTAACTCAACTACTTATAATCAGCTCAAGAGAATTACAATTATTAAATATAGTCCATTGTGTCTTTTCATAATTCCTTACACTTTAAAATCAATTAACATATAGGCTATTCATTTTTCTTGATTTTGATTCAGATTTACAGGGAGTATTACACTGTCAATATAATAAACTATGCTGTAATGATACAAACTAACTCAATAAAAGGCCTAAAACAACCAACAATCAGTAAATTAACCCTTAAAGATTAGAGTATAGAATTTTGCACACAGAGTTTAGATACCAAATCAATAATAATTAATAAATATTACTATTAAATTATTCAAATTCTTGTTTTTTATGATGAGATGAAAAAGATATTTAATCAAACTACTTATAATTAACCAAATAAATGTAGAATTTGAAAAATTTTTTGGTTTTTTGGGTATTTCCTCTGTTACCTTGTTAGGTTAAGGTTTTTGCAAGTGAAATTCAAATCTTAAAATGAGGCACTTACCTTTAAGAATCAAACGTACTGAGGCATCTTCTAAGGTTTTTTATTCCCCACGCTTCCTTTTGGCACATGAGACCGTTGACTATTTGAAAAATTTAAACACAAAATAATATAATTATTACTAAATAATATAAAAAACTAATTATATCACAGTAAACTAGACCTAATTATAAAACTTTTAATACATAACTTATAACTAAATTACTAAATAAAACTATTAAAATTAATTAAATAAGGTGACATGTCGTAAACGCTTGTCAACCGTTGCACTCCCGCGCGCCATCTTTTTTTTTCTTATTGTTATTTGCGAATAATAAAATGTATCACAAGGTCATTTTTCAAATGAGATTTTATTTGTTTTTGTTTTTTTTTTTTTTCAAATTTACGTTTTGGAAAAAAAAAATTACGAAATTATAAAAAAGGGAAAATTTTTATTATTTTAAAGGGGGGAAGTGGGGAGAGGTCAAAGGTTTTTCCTATTTAGCAATTTAGAAAGTGTAAATAAAATTTTTTCTTGTTTTATCATTATTATTAATATTAATGTGATCGATTCGCTCGGAAATCTGAGCCGTTGGTTTTTCCTATTCATCGACTCCCCTTTTGCCCCCCTCTCGCCTGTAAATTTCGGGGTTGAATCGTTTGTAAAGAATTTTTTTTGTAATAATCGCCATTATGAATTTACGATGACGAAATTGGTTATTTTAGGGGGTTGATGTAAACGTCTCGTGATGTTATTTCCACACAAAGAGGGGAGGGGGTCAAATTTATTTCCTGAAAAAATTATTTCCACGTTTAAAAAAAAAATTTTTAATTACGTTTTGCCCCCCGTAATAATAATAATTAAAATTTCCTCAAAGGTAAAATTTTTTTTTTTTTACTTTCGAATTTGTCTAGTACCCCGACCGCAAATATTTAAAACATAAATTTTTAACCCGAATACTTTTTAAATAAAAACCTCATGTTTGTCTGTTGCGTAAAAAAAAAAATCGGGGGAAGAAGGGGGAAGGGGAAGGGAGGGGAGGTCAACAATAATAAATTCTACTCGTGAGTTTATTTTCCAGCGTAAAAAAAAAATTATCACACTTGCCAATGATAGTTTATTTACTCTATAAAACGTGATATTCGACAAAACAAAAACATTTCCTTTGCCAAAACAAACACCAAAACAAACAAACGCACACACAACAAATGCATAAATAAAAATTACGTTATTTATTATTATTATTATTATTATTTATTTTAATAATAAAAATAATAAGAAACAAAATTAAAAATATTTTTTTTATTAGTTGGGTGACATTAGATTGGAAAAAAGCCAAAAACAAACGAAATCCTTATGGAGCAAAAAAAAAAAAACCTAACAAATACAAACAAAGACAAACAAATCGAATAATATATTTTTTTGTCTTTTTCTTTTTTAATCCAATCCTTTTTTTTTAAACAAACAACAAACGCAAAAAAAAAATCGATTACGATTTAAAATTTACATAACAACATTTTTATGTATCGATAAAACATTTTTGATTTTGTCATTTGTTTGTTTAATGACCTCCAAAACGATAACAAATTACAATCGATGTAACACCGACGATGATGATGATGATAATGATGATGATGATGATGATGATGATTACGACAATAAAAAAAAAAAAAAGAAGTCGAACAGGAAATGGAAAGTTTAAGGAGAAGAAGATGACGACGACGTCCCGGATAAAAAAATGTCAACGTTTTTTTTTTTGTTGTTGTTGAAAACGTGGCAAAAACAATTTCAGACGATTTCAGATATCCTACACGCAAATGACAATAATAATAATAATAATAAATTTTAGGTTTACGAAAAAAAAAAATAAAAAAAAATCCAGTTAACCGTGTGTTAATTCAGGTCACAAGTTTTCCTTCGTTTTATTTATTTATTTTTAATTTTAACCGGCCTGGAAAAATTATTATTATTATTATTATTAATATTATTATCATTAAAAATAATTATGTTTAGGTATCAGTATTTCAAAATTTACCTTAACATACCTTTTTTTTTCTAAAAACATAATAATAAATAAATGAATAACTTGCGGTAACGGGTAAGTTACGTAATAACAAAAAAAAAATTAATGAAAACGCAGTGATTACGTTTACGATAATAATAATAATATTCAAGGTTTTTTTTTTTTAAATGTCACAAATGTAATCAAACGAATGATGACAGGTCTTCAATATGTTAATTATTTGAAAACGGTTCAAATTATGATATTTAAAAAAAAAAAAAAAAAAATTGAGATTTTTATTTTCTAATTTTCTCCTGAGTTTAATCGGATGAGAGATTTTTCCGATTTTTTTTTTTTAATTTGTGTAAACGGAAATGGAGAAAGAGAGAGAGAGAGAAAAAAATTTAATTTCAGGTTTTCGATGTGTTTACATTTTTTTTTTTTTTTAAAAAAAAAACGTAATCATCATCATCATCACTTTCCCTTTTTCCATTTTTTTTTTTTTTTTTTTTTTCACGAAAAAAATTTAAAAAATAGAAAAAAAACAACAACAACCGAAACCGGTCGGTTCGTTTTGTAATTTATATTCGTTACAAAACGACCAAAAAAAAAATCGTAGATTCGATAATTTATTAATAATCGAAAGTTCGATTATTATTTATCGATCGATAGTATCGATTCCTTTTGTTTTCTTCCTTTTTTCGTTTTTATATTTACCAAAAGGTTTTCCTTTTTCTTCTAAACACTTACTCCTTTTGCCTCCATCTTTCCTCCTCGAGGGAAACCTTTCCTCCTCGATTCCAGATAATAATAATAA